AAGTATGCTGTTCTGGGCCTACCCCTGCCTCGTTTGCCCTCAATTTTGTCAGTGAGAGCTAGATATTCAAGACCCTTATGTCTACGTATGTGTCCCAAAAACTACATTTGTCGTTTCCTGATTGTTTCTAACATTGAGCGTCCCACGGGGGCTTCATCAAGCACTACCTCATTCGATTTCTTTTCCTTCCACGATTCTTTTAGCAGTCTCCTAAGAAACCACATTTCTGCTGTTTCTATTTTATTTTCACTGGTGATTGTCCAGCATTCACAGCCATATAGAAGGGTTGACCAAACATAGCATTTCAGAACTGACTACAAGGTTTTTAAAAAATCTCTTCTGTCTGCAGGAGGTATACATACTCCACGACGACCCAGTTCACAGCGACTACTACTCTGTCAACGGGGAGTGGGAATTCCTGGGAAGTACATCTGAGAACAGCACGGCTACTGATGGGAAGGAAGTCTTCCTCAAGCAAACTGTTTTGTACGTACAAAGAAGCCTTTTTTCCGACGTTTTGTTGTTGGTATAGGCATATCAATAATTTCAATAGAAAGACCTACATGTCTGACAGTTAAAAAAACAAACAAACTTTGCTGGTATGGACAAAAATACCTCTTAAATCAGGGGTCTGGTAAGGTAACCTTTATACTCAGTTAACTCCTGATCTAAAAAGTGCACACTGACTCAAATAAATCAGACGAAACTACGCATATGTCTTCGGGTCAGTTTGAGTTTTGAATATGACCAACTATATTATCCATATGGCATCGTGGTGAAATCAGGCGTTCGTCAAAATAATGCAATCAAGGAAGCCGCATTTTCCCTTGAACTGACACCTTTATATCCATTTGAAAACACACTTTTGTGTGGATGCTACCGGAAAATCTTTAGTAAAGGAACTGTTAATTTGCAGTTTCTAAGGACACTCAAGTTTTGGAAGTTGCCAAACGTTGGCGGCATTGTCTCACTAATTTTGCCACCGACACTACTCGACCCCCCATCTCATTAAGTCGGAGATTCTCGACTTCTGCTCGAGAAAGATAGGTATATTTTCACAAAAAGCAAGATAATTAATGAGTAAGCTTTAAGATGATGCCAATAACTCCATCTGCCCCAAAACTGATGAGCGCCTGATTCCACTACGTCGTGACACTTATTATTTTTTCTAAAACTTTGATGAGTAGTACACAGCAAGGTTTTATAATGCGGAAACTCAGCATGTACTGAAAAATTGGGAACAGAATACCATTCTACTGGTAATTCAATAATCCCCTCCCCCCTCAAGTGTATATCACGTATTGGGTGATATATGACAAGTATAAAATATGCAATATAGTATGCACTCCAAATATAAGGGGATTGGGTACTACGGCCATAGGTATGAAGGAAACCTTTCAGCAAATGACAATATTCCGTTATGTATGAAACCAGCCTTATTAAGCCAAGCATTCGTACCCCCCCCAACCCCAAGCAATTTGTGCCTTTGAGCATGTCATTAACACTTTTATTTTACATTTAGAAAGTTCTCCTAAATCAAAATCAGAATACAAATTCATCGACAATGTAGATTATTGGAAAGTTATGTAATCATTCTGATTTTGTTAAATAAATACAACGACTTGTGGTTGATTGTTTCCTTAAACAAAACTGTCTCATCTTCACCTCCTCCACAGCTTTCACTTCAAACGAAGATGGCTGTTCCTGGGGATGGCACTAATAACCCCAACAGTGCTCAACTCTATCCTCATGAGCATCGTGTTCGCACTGCCGTTTGAGAGTGGCGAGAAGATGGGCTACTCACTCACAGTGCTGCTCACCTACATGGTGCTGCTCACCCTGGTGGCTGACACGCTACCCCCAGTGTCCAGCGAGCTGTCCGCTCTGCGTGAGTCAAATAACTTTAGGCAGAGAGGAATAGCAGACACTCGTTCACCCCACCCCCTCCCTTATTTATGTCGAATCTGCATTTTGAAGGCCCTCTTTCATGCATTTTAGAAAAGAGGATGTCATTTTGGTAAAACGCAATTCTGTCCCCCCAGATCACCCGAGCTCTCCTTTTTAAAATTTAGACTCGTCGAAATCGACAAACCTAACAGTCTTTAATAAAATTGGTCGCTTTTAAGCACAAGGGGGCTATCCCGAAACCCCCCCACTGTTTTGAGAAAATCGAAGGTACGGTAAAGTTTTTGCCCCTTGTTCAATTTCTTTAAAAGACAAGGGGCGTTTTCTCTAAAATCAAACAAATATACACACCAATGAAACACCAAACCTCTCCTATAGGTAGAACAATGACCACTTTTGGTGTTGGTCAAGATTTCTGGAAACCCCCGAAATCTAGGTTAGCCCGTTTGTCCTTAAAAGCGACCAATTACATTGAAACCCCCCTCCCCTTTTTCAGCTTTCACTATGGCGGGGGCTGCTTGCTTGGTCCATGTTCAACACCAATAACTGCATGCCTTAGGAAATCGCACGAATAAACTTTTTTTCAAACTTTGGACCTGCTTCTTTTTTCCCAACATAAGTTAACCTCACTCAAAGAGATAAACTTGGTTAAATGATAATAGGTCTATGTCTCAACGAATTTGTTTTTTTCCCTCAGAGATCTACCTGACAGGCGTCATGTGTACCGGTACCGTTGCTACCATGCTGACAGTGTGGTCAGTGACCATATACAGTTTCAGCGATGACAAGCCCGTGCCTCAGTGGGTCAACACAGCGTACTACTCCTTCCTGCAACCTGCCACATGTAAGATCCAGGTGTTGACGACGTGTTGGGAGCATTTTCGAAGGTGGAAAACCGACCAAAGCGAAATGGATCCTAAAGACGAAGAGACGGATGTAAATGCCAGAGATACCCAGTGTAGTTGGGTTGACAGTGAGAGTGTGAGCAGCGACCACGTTTCGAACCAGCTTTCATTCCACGACACTCATAGGATTAACGATTTAGAGGCTCAGACTGGCAAAACGGACACCCCACTTTATCATCCCCTACCAGATCCTATGTTGGTTGGTGACCAGAGCTTACCAGGTATGCTGGGCAATGCTGAGCACCTAACAATTGATAACGAGAAAATACGTGATAAGAAAGAGATATTCTCCATTCAGAACTGTGGTAGAAACCAACTGGGGAATTCATACGACTACGATGCACATTTATCTGAGCCCACCCAACCATATGACGCAAGAGATGATGACATGAAAAACTTCTTCAGCGGAGGGCTTCCTGATGCACTGCTTCCTGGAACTTCCGATTCCCGGCTGAGTGAAATAACTGACATCAAAACTGATCACAACGATGAAGACGGCAGAGAAATCAGCACGGAAGACAAGGACCTGACATGGCAGGAGGTAGCAAGGGCCATGGACGCGCTGTTCTTGAGAATATGCAGCTTTCTCATTGGTGCAGGGACGGTGATCTTATGCATATTCTTTGCAGCAACGTATTGACTCTTCTGCCTCTAAAAAGAATAATTCTGAAAGGTAAAATATACCTCCTTTCGAACAAGTTTCAGGAGGTCAGAGGTGATACCTGTCATTTCAAAGGTTTGGATGGATTGTAAATGTTTTGCGCACTTATTAAAACAAAACAGATCAAATAGAAGACGAGTTATTTCGACCCTGTTTGTCAGCGCCACCATGGGCTAAATAGGACACAACATCCCAGTAGACAGACGGATATATTCAATAAAATTACTTCCCCATTCGAAATTCAAACTCAAGTCTTCTACTTCCAACCTCAGACAGCCTTAGAGCTGCGCTACTGATGCCGGTTGTTACTTTTAAAGAGGTGCAAATAAACATAAATTTGTGAAAAATGTAAGTACGCTTACCGTGTTGCCTTGTTCAAACATGGGTCAGAACTGGATGGGACCTGCATTTTCAACATCCACGTTTCCGACTTCTTAGGTCCGTATCTGAAGCTGTTGGCTTCATGATTTTTAGAGAGTGAAGTGGACTTGAGGTTTTTCAGCGCCAAAGTTGCAACCATTTTAAAGTCTGTTTGACAGTTATTTACAGAACTGACAGTAGACTTGACTTATAGTTGGAGTTCGAGTGAAGAGAAGCACTTCGATACAACAACGGCCATTCAGTGCTTTGACAAAGCGGGGCAGACGTCCAGAAACAAAAGATAGACAGTAAAGGAGCAACACATATCCAAGGCACCCTACAATGACCACCACTCCTTTGAAATTAATAGTTCCTAGTAGACTATGATTTGGATGTTATACAGCAAATGGCGCCTAAAAGTAAAAAAAATGGAAATTCGATATAATAATATGCTAATATTTCTTCGGGGTATGGGATGATAGTAAGTCCAGTTGACAATAGAATACTTTGACAACTTTTATTGCAAATTGAACTGATATAGGCATATAACAAGGAACAAAGGTAAAACCATTGTGTCCACTGAAACTGCTGTTAGTGGCACCATTAATTATTTACAATAAAAGTACCAATAGCGACAACAACAACAACTACAACAACAACAGCAACAACAACAACAACAACAACAGCAACAGTACCCCAACTATCCTAACAGCCGGACGATATATCCATTATGGATAAGGTTTCTTAAGTGTACGAGAACGGCCCACAGTAAACTGCCCAAATATATCGTATCATCATCTTCTGACATGGCTCAGTAATACATTTTTTGTTGCTGTCTATTTATTATTACGAATTGTTACCCACGAATAAGATCTTTTTAAAGACAGGCTCCATACGGTTGTGAGGTTTCAGGGGTCTCTATTCTTACTGGGTTAGACCCTTGTCACCAGATCGTTATAAAATAGAACTAGCCAGACGGCATAGAGTGTACGTAGACTACGTTCCAACGTAAAATTGTGGCACAATGTCAAATGAAGAGTAGCGCGCTCTTGGTGGTATAACGAACTATTCATATCCCCCCCCCCTTCCACGCACCCCCATTCCCATACCCCAATAAGTGGAAGACCAAAAATGTTTAAATAATCAGTTACTAAAATTAACTACACATAATATGTAACGCAATAACATACTTTTTGACACATCCGTTAAAAAAAAATCACACACACACGCGCACGCACACACAAACACACACACACACACACACACACACACACACACACACACACACACACACACACACACACACACACACACAGACACACACACAGACACACACACACAAACAGAGAGAGAGAGAGAGAGAGAGAGAGAGAGAGAGAGAGAGAGAGAGAGAGTCAATGTGAAGATAGCAAATATGATTAACATTTCAAATAGCTTGCATGACAATATTGCTTACAACAATAACAGAGTAATTAAAAAAATACCCAAGGACTTTTTATCGTGAAAGATCAGAGGTCCGAGTACATGAGATCTGAAAAAGCATTATTGCTGCTGACGTAGTTGACCAAAGCTGTAACTGGCAAGGAAGCTCGACGACCAAAGCTGGGTCTCTTTTCCGAGGAGATTGATTTTGCCAAGGACTTGATGGCCCGGAATTCTTTACGATGACCCGGGTACGTCATGTACTTTGATTTAGTCCCTCTTTCAGCTAAGCTGGGCATGCTACTGCTGAAGGCTAAGTTGCTCATGCCCGTGCTCATTGAAACACTTTTCT